AACTTCAAATGATTGCAATGAGAAGATTTCTCTTAGTGATGTTCTCCGCGTCTTTGCATGCACTTGCGGTGTACGTACACCTCAGCCCCCCAGAATTTCTCTTAGAATTTATTTTCATTTGGAGTGTACAGACACCTGGAGGTGCGCATACACCCCAACTCTCCTCCCGAATTGCTCCTTTAACTTTCCTTTTCTTTCATTTCTTTTATTCATCACTCCAGCCAAAGCCACTTACGCAGCTCCAATTGCAGCTAGCTAGCTGGAGAGCTAGCTAGCTAGTTAGCTAGCTAAATGCGGGCAGCCAGCTAGCTAGATAGCTGGTACCCCACCTACTCGTTTAGTTAATGTGCGGCGAACGTTTCTCCTCTTTCTTTAATTTAGCTAGCTAGCCAGCTAGCCAGCTAGCTAGCCAGCTAGCCAGCTAGCTAGCCAGCTAGCTAGCTAGCCAGCTAGCTAGCTAGCTAGCCAAACGACTTAGGCCTTCTCATTTGCGCTGCGGTGTCTGTACACCTCGAGGAAAACGCGTAGCAGCTAGCTAGCTGCATCGAAGTAGAGCTAGTTAGCTAGCCATGCAGCTAGCTAGCTACATCTATACAGATTTGGTTAGCAGCTAGCTAGCTAGCCAGCCACCTGAGTGGCTGTATATACACTTAGCCAGCTATCTCTCTATTGATCTCTCTGGCTAGCTAGCTAGCTACCTAGCTAGCTAGCTATCTAGCTAACTAGTTAGCTAGCTACCTAGCTAGCTAGCTATCTAGCTAACTAGTTAGCTAGCTACCTAGCTAGCTAGCTAACTAGCTAGAAAGATAGGTAAACAAAAGAGGCTAAAAGGCAAGAGCTAGCTGCTGCTGCAGCGGCAAAAAATTGCTGCTGCAGCAGTGTACAGACACCTCGCCGTCGTCGTAAACCTAAACCCTAAACCCTAAACCCTAAACCCTAAACCCTAGTCCCTAAACCCTGGCTTGTCCGATTTATTTTTTCTGAGTTGCTCAACCGAAGGAGGAGCCACAGAAATGAGACAAGAGAGAAAGATTTGGATCAATAATTAGATTCCAAAAAGAAACAAATCAAACCCCCAAACCCTAAACCCTAAACCCTAAACCCTCGCTGGCCCTCAAGAACCCCAGGAAGCGGTGAAGTCCAAAACGCGGCATCTGCGAGGCGAAAGCAGCAAAAGAAATGGCATTAATTAAGAGCAGCAAATTAAAATTAAGAATTATTTTAATTTTTAATTCTTTATTTCTTTTTTTAATTCAAAATGATGAAAAGAAAATGCAAATTCATCTTCCTCACTAGGTGCACAATCTGGGGTGTACGTACACCTCAGCTTTCGCCGCCTTCGCGCGCCGAGTCCATTTGGCAAATCTCCGAAGCTTTATTTCATTTTATTTAATTAAATGTTTATATTTTAATTTAAATTTAATTATTTCATTCATTTGGACTTCAATTTATTTATTTTTCTTTTTATTTCCTCTCACTCGCCGTCCGCCGTGCCGGTGATGCAGGAGAAGCTGAACGGCGAAGCAGCAATTGCACACACGCACCTGCAGCAGCAGCAGCAGCAGCAGCAGCGGCAGCAGCAGCAGCAGCAGCAGCAGCAGCAGCAGATTGGCTTTCAATGTAGAGGGAGTGAGGCACAGAAGCAGCAGCAAAATACTTCACTGAAAGGCAGCCACAGAGAAGCAAATAACAAACAAAAAAGACAGCAATTTGTGATTAATAATAAATGATTAATGAAAAGCAAACAATAATAAATGATTAATAACAAAGAAATAATATTATTAATATCAATTATTGGAATTAATTACTAATAATTAGTTATTAATGATTAATTATAAATAATTAATTATTAATAATTCGTAAGTGAAAGACTTAAAGAAATAATTAAATAAATCAAAACAAAAACAGAGAGGCAGCTGAAGCTCCTAGCTAGCGCAGCAGACGAAAAGACACCAATGCTGCTAGCTAGCTAGCCAGCTAGCTAGCTAGCTAGCTAGCCAGCTAGCTAGCTAGCTAGCTAGCCAGCTAGCTAGCTATCCAGCTAGCTAGCTAGCTAGCTAGCTAGTAATATCTCACTGCTGCTGCCCCTGTCTTTGAGGGTGAGGGTCAACAAAAGAAGAAATGGCAGCTCCCGTTAAAGAATTAAACAGACGCAGGGGGCCACCAGCCTCTGCAGCAGCAGCAGCAGCAGCAGCAGCAGCAGCAGCAGCAGGTTGTTTGTTCAAGCATGTACAGCAGCAGCAGCAGCAGCAGCAGCTGCTGCTGCTGCTGCTGCTGCTGCAGATGAGACGCTGCTAGCAGCAGGAGAGACGCAAAGGTGACGCAGCCAACGGCAAGCTGCTGCTGCTGCAGCAGCCATTTGAAGACTAAACAGATATAAATTAACATTAAGATTTTATTTATTTTTGATTATTTATTTAATTTAGAGATTTAAAAGTTTTAATTAAACTTAAAATTCATTTTATTTTCAATTATTTATTTCTTCAAGGCTTCCCACCTGCCCCTGACACCGAAGCTATAAAAGCCTCCGTTTGCAAAAAGACAGAAACTGCGCGGCGGTCCCGCCGAGACCCGCTGTGGATGGCCAGCAGCTGCAGCAGCAGCAGCAGCAGCAGCAGCAGCAGCAGCAGCAGCAGCAGCAGAATCGCACCCACAGCAGCAGCAGCAGCAGAACCGCACCCACAGCAGCAGCAAATATGGCAAAACATGCAAGAAAAAACACCTCTCATTACTTTATGGTTTAATTGTTTATTCTTTTATTAATTTCATTTGGCCAGCAGCTGCAGCAGCAGCAGCAGCAGCAGAACCGCATCCACAGCAGCAGCAGCAGCAGCAGCTGCTGCTGCTGCTGTGGGTGTGCAGCAGCAGCAGCAGCAGCTGCTGCTGCTGCTTAAATGTTTTCTTTGCGCAGTTTGTCTGCTGCTGCGCAACTTGGGGTGTATGTACACTGCGCCCGTTGCACTCCCAGCCGCCCGAAACACCGCCAGCAGTCTCAAATTTGAATCTTCAGTTCTTTTATTTATAATTAATTTATTAATTCATTAAATTAAATTAATTTTTAATTTAATTTGTTTGTTTTTTCCCCGTCTTTTTGTTTGTGCTGCTCTAAATCACCTGCTGGCCTTTCCGCACATCCCAAATGCGCGAGTGGCCGTCGAAGCCGCAGGAAAGGAGAAACCTGAAACCGGAGAGCAAAGGAACAATTAATTAATTAAAAATAAATAAATAAATAAATAAATAAATAAATAAATAAATAAATAAATAAATAAATAAATAAATAAATAAAATGCGTGTAGTGTTGTGTCAAAGACTAAAAATCTCAGAATCTTGGCGAGCTGCCTGTACACCCGAGCTGCCTATACACCCCAACTGCCTATACACCCGAGCTGCCTATACACCTCAGCACTTTCTTACCTTCCTGATCGCGACCACATGAGAGAAGTCACTGGCATTCCGCTGCGCGAGAAGAGACGCAGCACACACCCCAAACCCTAAACCCTAAACCCTAAACCCTAAACCCTAAACCCTAAACCCTAGACGCCACCGCTTCCTCACTTGTGGGCGTCTGGAATTCGGTTCACCAGCATCCCTGTCACGCCGTCAAAGAACTGTACAGACACCGCACACGCAGCAGCAAGCAGCAGCAGCAGCAGCATGAGCAGCAGCAGCGGCATGAGCAGCAGCAGCACGCGCAGTAGCAGCAGCAGCAAGGGAGCAACAGCAGCGCGAACATGAGCAGCAGCAGCAGCAGCAGCAGCAAAAGACTGTCAGGCTGCGCATGCTTCTGTCTGCATTGGTATAAACAACGCGCAAACAAACACCAAACTAACTAAATTAAATCAAACTAAATTAAATTAAATTAAATTAAATTAAATTAAATTAATTAATTAAACAATTTCAAACTCCCACATGAATGCTGCCATCTTCGCTGGCCACAGCCACAACAGTTCCGTCTTGGCTGGGTTTGATATCCGTGAGGGGCCCCCTGAGGGCCGCGAAAACCCTCAGGGTATTTAAATCATAAAGACGAACTATTGGGTGGCTGCTGCCGACATAAAGGAATTCTCCACAAGGGTGTGGGGCCGTGACAGTAATGGGGTAAACATCTCGCAAAGTTGCTGCAGCACAACGCGCAGCAAGCTGCTGCTGCTGCTGCTGCTGCTGCTGCTGCTGCTGCAGCTGCGGGAACTGCTGCAGCAACTGCGTGCTGCAGAGAACACGATGCAGACACGGCTTTGCGACTCCGCGGCTGCACGCTTGACGCCTCACAGTCTAGGGTTTAGCGTTTAGGGTTTAGGGTTTAGGGTTTAGGGTTTAGGGTTTGAGGGGTGAGGGTTTGCATGCATGGTCCCGGGGCGCTCTTTTGTGGTAAACGGGAGCCTCAGCTGGAAATAGTGATAAAGTCATTTGCAAAATAAATAAAAAGAAATAAATTAAAACAAATTAAAATGAGTTAAAATGAATTAAAATGAATTAAAATAAATTAAAATGAATTAAAATAAATTAAAATGAATTAAAACAAATTAAAATGAATTAAAACAAATTAAAATGAATTAAAACAAATTAAAATGAATTAAAATAAATTAAAATAAATTAAAATGAATTATAAATAAACAGACCCACTTTGCTTCTGTGCACGTGCATTTGAACCAACTACAATTTACGCAGCAGCTATAAGCACTGCAGCAGCAGCAGCAGCAGCAGCTGCTGCTGCTGCTGCAGCAGCA